GAAAGAAATAAAAGAAAATCCAGCGCTTTCTTGTGTAGCCTTATGGAACAATCAAACCCGTAACATGATTTATATACGATATGTGTGATTCCTTCATAAAACCCAGTGTATTAAGACTTCAATCCTGTTCCCCTCAGTCCGGGAAGTTGGATGCTTACCTGGTCCTGGAGCAGCTGAGGTGCAACGGTGTGTTGGAGGGGATCAGAATCTGCCGACAAGGATTTCCCAACAGAATAGTCTTCCAGGAGTTTCGCCAGCGGTGAGGAAACTCACTAACTTATAAAGTGTCTCTAAAGATTATGATATTTGGAAACCTTACTAAGCATATCTGTGTCTCTTTCCTGTCTTATAGTTATGAGATCCTGGCTGCTAGTGCTATCCCCAAAGGTTTCATGGATGGCAAACAAGCCTGCTGCCTCATGGTAAACACATAGGTTCACAAAATGTTCATTTAAGTTTTCATACAGTGTGTGAGCCTCCTTTTTCTCACTGATCTCCTGTCTGTGTAGATCAAGCATCTGGACTTGGACCCCAACCTGTACAGGATCGGACTGAGTAAGATCTTCTTCCGCACAGGAGTGCTGGCCCAGCTGGAGGAGGAGAGAGATCTGAAGATCACTGTGGTCATCATTGCTTTCCAGTCCCAGGCTAGAGGGTTCCTGGCCAGAAGGTATGAATACACAAGCCTCCTCTCACTTATCTAATGAAACTGTCTTTTAGACAGTATTTTGTAGCAGTGGAGGAGGCTTTCATAACTTCTTTTGTACTTTTTTTACTGTTTTTATCACTATACATTAGAAACACATTGCTTTGTATCATACATGGTATATTGGTTTCATTGTATTTCTAAAGGGCATTTGCCAAGAGACAACAGCAACTCACAGCCATGAAAGTGATCCAGAGGAACTGTGCTGCCTACCTCAAACTGAGGAACTGGCAGTGGTGGAGGCTCTTCACAAAGGTCAACTAATCATTCTGCAACAAAATCACAGTACAACATAGTTTTTGAGGCTTTTCTAATGTTTTTAATTTAGTGGGAGAATGCGTTCTTCATGTACTTTAGTAAATTACAAACTCAGCCTTATATCGCCTTCACCCCATTTTAAAAATGTGATGATGCCCGTCCTCCTGAACCACAGGTCAAGCCTCTGCTGCAAGTGACCCGCCAGGAGGAGGAGATGGGTCTGAAGGACGAAGAGCTGCTGAAAGCCAAAGAAATTGCTGTAAAGTCTGAATCTGAGCTGAAGGAGATCACCTTGAAACACACATCGGTAAAGGACGAAATCTCGAAATCTTTTCAGTGTTTCATTTAATACAAGAGTGAAACCAAGCTAGTAAGAATAAGCTCCTTTTTAAAGGTCTACCAATGAAGCTGAGCCCATGTTTATCTGATCCGTTTGCTCCAGCTTTTGGAGGAGAGAAACACACTGCAGGAGCAGCTTCAAGCAGAGACAGAGCTGTATGCCGAGGCCGAGGAGATGAGGATTCGCCTGGCGTCTAAGAAACAGGAGTTGGAGGAGATCCTCCATGAGATGGAGGCGAGACTGGATGAAGAGGAAGAACGTGCTCAGGGGCTGTTAGTGGATAAGAAGAAGATGCAACAGCAGATGCAGGTCTACACATCTGCTTCTTGTTGTTAACTTAGTGTTGATAATGGGAGGAAATGGCAGCAGAAGGTGAATGCTGCCATTTTGTTCTTGTAGGAATTGGAAGAACATTTGGAGGAGGAGGAAGATGCCCGTCAAAAGCTGCAGCTGGAGAAGGTTACCTGTGAGGGGAAGGTCAAAAAGCTGGAGGACGACGTCTTGGTGATGGAGGACCAGAACAACAAGCTGCTGAAGGTAAGTGTGGACAAAGAGCGTTTATCTGAGTCACTTATTAAGAGACTTACTATGTCAAAAGGAGAAAGTGGACTTCGGCAAATAGATTACCTACTTTGTGTTTTGTAGGAGAGGAAGCTGATGGAGGAGAGGATTGCAGACTTCAGTTCCAACCTGGCAGAGGAAGAGGAGAAGTCAAAGAACCTCACCAAGCTCAAGAATAAACACGAGTCCATGATCTCTGAACTAGAGGGTAATCATCTGTTACCATGTATTAACACCCTCAAAATCTTATTGTCACAACCGGACACATACTAAATATGTATTCTTATTGTCATCTCTCTGCTGTACTTATAGTCCGTTTGAAAAAGGAAGAGAAGGGTCGACAGGAGCTGGATAAGGCTAAGCGTAAGTTAGAAGCAGAGTCGAATGACATGCAAGAGCAGATCGCCGACCTGCTGGCCCAGATCGCTGACCTCAAAGCCCAGCTCGCAAAGAAGGAGGAGGAGTTACAGAACGCCTTGGCCAGGTAAAGTCCACAAGTGACAAAAGTAGAACCCATTTACAGCTTTCATCTACAATACGCCTGAATCTACAGAGCCCAGTAACTTAATTCATCGGAGGCAGAGCAGCACCTTCAACGTTTAACTTCTTGGATGCAATTCTATCATGTTAACAAATATCCTCCTCGATGCACTCTTCTTCCTCCTCAGGTTAGAAGATGAGACGGCTCAGAAGAACAACGCTCTGAAGAAGATCAGAGAGCTGGAGGGACACATCTCCGACCTGCAGGAGGACCTCGACTCTGAGCGGGTGTCGAGGAACAAAGCAGAGAAGATCAAACGGGACCTCGGGGAGGAGCTGGAGGCCCTCAAGTCTGAGCTAGAGGACACTTTGGACACCACTGCCACACAGCAGGAACTTAGGTCGGTCATACGACACTGACAAATACAAATATAATGATATAAAGTTATTACTTATTAAGAATGTATGGCAATGGTAAAATTAATATTACGTTGTTAAACGTAAATATTGCCTTGTTCTTAGAACGTTCCTGTAGAAGAAAGGTGTAAAACAGAAGCGATAGCTTTGCCATATCTGTAAAACAAACAAACATCTGCACGGTCCATCCATCCAGGGCAAAACGTGAGCAGGAGGTGAACCTGCTGAAGAAAGCCATCGATGACGAGAACCGGACCCACGAGTCCCAAGTCCAGGAGATGAGGCAGAAACACACCCAGGCTGTGGAGGAGCTCACAGACCAGCTGGAGCAGTCCAAACGAGTACGCCTGCGTCATTAACACAGTGTCATTTAGCTTGTTTATGTAGTTCATACTGGTTCTGAAAGGCTTTTTTTTCCTATGCAATACACAGGATGTTTTTTCTCTCTCTTGCTCAGGTGAAGTCAACCCTGGAGAAGGCCAAACAAGCTCTGGAGAAGGAGACATCAGATTTAACCATAGAGGTGCGCTCACTCAACCAGGCCAAACAAGACGGGGAGCACAAGAGGAAGAAGTTGGAAGGTCAGGTGACAGATCTACAGTCACGCTTCACCGACAGCGAGAAGCAGAAGGCCGAGCTGGGAGAGCGCTGCTCGAAGACCACTGTAAATTACTTTCAGTAGCTATATCAGTACTGCACATACAAAAACATGAATCTTTAAAAGCTACCAGACTGATGTGTTGAAGATGAAAGTCCCAGAAACCTCATCTTTGTCTTGATACAGATTGAACTGGAGAGTGTGACAAACCTACTGAATGAAGCAGAGGGCAAGAACATCAAACTGAGCAAAGATGTTTCCAGCCTTACCTCCCAACTCCAAGACTCACAGGTAACTGGACATTTAGCAGAGCTTTTAGAGCTGAAACAGCACATGATATAATCCCCATACAGTCTACATGTTACCTTTACTGTGACAATTAAATACACCACACAATGCTTCCTGACAAAAGGTCAGAATCGAAGCATTGACCTTTGACATGGTGTGCTGCCACAGGAGCTGCTGGCTGAGGAGACACGCCAGAAACTGCAGTTCTCTACAAAACTGCGGCAAGTGGAAGACGACAGGAATAACTTGCAGGAGCAGCTTGAAGAGGAGATGGAGGCCAAGAGGAACGTGGAGAGACACGTGTCCACCCTCAACATCCAGGTCAGAGTTCAAACTAGGGGTTGCTTATTTACATTAGGGAGAAATTTCAGTTTCTTAAAGTCTTCTTCCATACACAGTTGTCAGATTCGAAGAAGAAGCTCGACGAAATGACGGGAAACACCGAGCTGCTGGAAGAAGGTAAGAAACGTCTGCAAAGAGATCTGGAGGCAGCAAACACCCAGTTTGAGGAGAAGGCCTCTGCGTATGATAAGTTGGAGAAGACCAAGAATCGCCTGCAGCAGGAGCTCGAGGACACGCTGATGGACCTGGACAACCAGAGACAGAATGTGTCCAACCTGGAAAAGAAGCAGAAGAAGTTTGACCAGGTCAGCACTAAGAGATAACTGTCATAACAATACTACTTATATAATAAGAAACTGTATCCATGGTTTTCCCTCTTCTCTGGTCTCCAGATGCTGGCGGAGGAGAAGAGTATCTCCAGTAAATATGCAGATGAGAGAGACCGAGCTGAAGCCGAGGCCAGAGAGAAGGAGACCAAGGCTCTGTCCCTGGCGAGAGCTCTGGATGAGGCCCAGGGTTCAAGAGAAGAGCTGGAGAGAGCCAACAAGACCCTGAGGATGGAGATGGAGGACCTGATCAGCTCCAAGGATGATGTGGGGAAAAACGTTAGTGCCGGAACATTTTTTCATTAAAAACATCACTGACGGACAAGAAGTGTTTGAGGCTGAAAGTCCATGGTTTGACTGCTCTCATTGCTTGATGCTATTTACACCAAAATATAGTAGTTAATGTGACTATATATTGATGGCAGGTCCATGAGCTGGAGAAGTCCAAACGAGGTCTGGAGGCCCAGGTGGAAGAGATGAAGACCCAGCTGGAGGAGCTCGAGGACGAGCTGCAGGCGGCTGAGGACGCCAAGCTGCGTCTGGAGGTCAACATGCAGGCCCTGAAAGCCCAGTTTGACAGAGACCTCCAGGGACGAGATGAGATGGGAGAGGAGAAGAAGAGACAGCTTGTCAAGCAGGTAATGGGGTCGGGGGACCGTCGGGGTCATTGGGTGGGTTCCAGGGGTCCCCAGCAAAAACGGGACAAAATCGTATCAATGGGGGTCCGTGCTCTAGTTTGTGTCGGTCTTTGATGTGAAGACGTTTGGGAACCACTGATCTAAGCGATGATGAATACCTACTGCAGGTCCGTGAGTTGGAGACGGAGCTGGAGGATGAACGTAAGCAGAGGGCCCTGGCGACAGCAGCCAAGAAGAAATTGGAGACGGACATGAAAGATCTGGAGGGACAAATTGAGACGGCCAGTAAGGGACGGGATGAGGCCATCAAACAGCTCCGCAAGCTCCAGGTGAGAGTGAAGGGACGGATGGAATGCAGCAGCATTTTATTTTAGATTTCATTTTATCTGATTTTAGATGCAGATATCATTTCCTTCTTTTTGTTATTCCATGTAGGACGTGTGAACTTAACGCATCTAACGTACCATTTTACTAAACTAAATATTGGGTAACTAATAAATGGGATTTTTGGGAGCGTTGCGTCCACAATCAGGTCAAAGCTCCGGGTAGTGCTGTACCGTAAATATACCTGGTGAATAAATCCCATTCTGATGCACTCCTTATTTCCGTTTCTCTTTCTCCCACCAGGCGCAGATGAAGGACTACCAGAGGGAGTTGGAAGATGCCCACGCTGCCAGAGAAGAGGTGCTAACCACCGCAAAGGAGAGCGAGAAGAAAGCCAAGGGTCTGGAAGCTGAGCTCATGCAGATACAGGAGGTAACACAGCCGATACCAAACAAGCAAATTGTTTGAGATTAGAGGCTTGAAATAAAGATTTAATCTCTAGCATGTTTCTAGGATCTGGCTGCAGCCGAGAGAGCACGGAAGCAGGCGGAGGCCGAAAGAGACGAGCTATCTGATGAGCTGGCCAGCAACTCCTCTGGAAAGTGGGTGGAGATTTCACCGTTGCCTTTGTCTGTGAAATGAACGCCGCAGACAAAGTGATGGTCACACTTGTTTCTGTGTACAGGTCCGCCTTGGCAGATGAGAAACGCCGTCTGGAAGCTAAGATCTCCCAGCTAGAGGAGGAGCTGGAGGAAGAGCAGAGCAACATGGAGATCCTCAACGACCGGCTGAGGAAGAGCACGCAGCAGGTGACCAGACAGTAGCAGCTACCGGAGTCATAAAGGGCTCAAAATGTGCAGAGGCCTCACCCTTTTTTCCTTGCATGCATACAGACGGATCAGCTGAGCAACGAGCTGCAGACAGAGCGCAGCACCTCCCAGAAGAACGAGAGCGCCCGGCAGCAGATGGAGCGCCAGAACAAGGAGCTGAAGGCAAAGCTCCAGGAGATGGAGAACCAGGTCAAGTCCAAGTTCAAGTCCTCTATCTCTTCCTTGGAGGCTAAAGTGGCACAACTGGAGGAGCAGCTGGAGCAGGAGAACAGGTCGGGAACAGAGAAATCTGATCAAATTCCATCTAAAACCTAATTGACAAAGAATTTATTTGCATCTTCCAGCAATAACCGTAGCATCAATGTGTGTCCTAAACTCACATGGAACTTCATGGTTCACTTCAAACAAACAGAGCAGTTTTCTACAGTTAAACTCGTGTTAACCTCTGAACTCTTTTGTCCTCTCTCAGGGAGAAGCAGGCGTCGGCTAAGACTGTGCGCCAGAAGGACAAGAAGCTCAAGGAACTGCTGATGCAGGTGGAAGATGAACGCAAACAGGCGGAGCAGTACAAAGACCAGGTGCGATCACTCTGCACAGCCATGCTCATTTGTTCACAGACGTCAATGTTTTTGAGCGGATGGCTATTTGGAGTCCAGTGCACAGGGACAGTTAGTTGGGATGAAAGAGTACCAAGTCTGTATATTTCCTCTGTTCGCTCACCAGGCAGAAAAGTCAACTACCCGCATGAAGCAGCTGAAGCGGCAGCTGGAGGAGTCAGAGGAGGAGTCTCAGCGCGCTACAGCCGCCCGCAGGAAGCTGCAGCGGGAGCTGGATGAAGCCACCGAGGCCAGCGACGCCATGAGCCGCGAGGTCAACTCTCTCAAGAGCAAACTCAGGTACAACAAAGGGCCAAAGAGTCTGTCCTTCCTTCTTCTTCTTTTTATTCCTGTGACGCTCCAAGAGGACACAGATACTGCAGTAGGCAGTACAGAATGGTAAATAGTCACAATCAGGAGGGTGTCTGTGTATTTCTGTATCGTTTCACACTAAATAATTAAACTCAACATACATATTTTAGTGCTAAAGAGTACGTTGTCACTACAGTCGTATTCACAGGGTTGTAAACACACATTCAAAGCAGTAGCATGTTAGTAGAATTTAGTTTGGTGGCCTTCACTGAGCACAAACAATGGTGTCCATCTCTATTCCAGAGGCAACCCTGAACCCAAGGAGTAACACAGCAGGTACCTCTGCGCCTAAAAGTTGCCCCATCACCATTTCTTATTAACTTACCATAACTTCTCATCCCCCCGTGCACTCTCAATGCTATCATTTCTTTCTATGAGCCTAACTGAGAGAAATATGGCTCATCAGCCTACCACGATTTCCTTGGAAAAACTAAAATGTTGGGTAGCGAGTGAGCTTTCCATTCCACCAATTTCTGACTGGTGGCCATATTTTCCTCAGAGCTTGGTTTAATTGCCATAAACCGAACTCATTTTCCTGAGCCAGGAGTCAAATGAGTTACAAAGATAACCGGCGTGCTTAATCTGTAACCACAGCACATTACTGTACATTCTGTATTTCATCAACACAAGAGTGGTTTTCAAACTTTAACCAGCTCATAAGCCATCAGATAACCGCTCCTCTCACTGTTGGGATATGTGTCGGTTTGTATCCGTGTCCGTCTCTGTGGCACTTCTAGGCGTGGAAACGAGCCCTCCTTCGGCGGCACAACTCGGCGTATGGGCGGCGGCGGCCGACGGGTGGTCGAAGACGCCTCCGAGGAGGAGGCCGACTCCCAAAGCGACTTCAATGGAACCAAGTCTGCGGAGTGAGGGACGTCAAATAACCAGATATCAGAATTGCCACCGTCTCCCACTTTAACAGAGAATAACTTCAAAGCCCATTAAGCCATCTTGTTCTTCCATATAACTTCAAAATATATATTTTCTCAAACTTCCAATAGTGTACTGATCTATCGTCTTGTTTCAGAGCACCTTTTCTTGATGCACAATAATCAGAAGGACTCGATATCATCCAGAGGAGTTGTTTTGGTGGCTATGCTGACGTGTGATTTCCTGTTCCTTTCATTTTTTTTAAGTTACACTGTTTTGTACTGCACTGAATGACCCGATTCCTTTTTATGCAAGTTTTGTACACAAACAGGTGCCTCTAATTACCACGCTGACCTACCAGCAAAGCCTCGAGTCTCCATAAGAAGTCACCACAACTTAAAGCAGACATCATCATGTAAATCTATGGATCTGTGTCTATTACGAGCGACTGTCGTCCTGTTGCCTGTGACTGCTGTTGAGAGCAGCACTGACAGATGTAGGAAGGTATTTCTATACTCGGTCTGCATCCAGTCAGTGCTGCTGTTTGTATCCCAACAAACAAATATTTAGCTGTTAAACATTTTACGTCACAGTTTTATATCATTTGCACCTTTCTTGTGCCGACATGTTATGATTACTTAATGTTAAGATTAGACGAGGTTCAGGTTAGCCTCCACTATAAACTCACCAGCCAGATTCCAGTATTGAACGTCGTCATTTTCTATTTTATTTCCCCTTTTGTCCTGATTTACTGTACATGTTGAAAAAAGCCCCTTGATTACCCAGAAACCAACTCTGTCATTTGATCATGTTCTATGTAATCAACTGATGTTTACATGACACCAATCGTATCTATCTACTGTTCAACCACCTGCACAAGAAATAAAGAGATTTAAACAAAACATTGATTTTCTCCTTTTAATATTTCCGTCTGTCGGTAACTTCAAAGATCCTCAGAACATTCTCATCTGTTCAGCTCAATAGAAAAACAACTGCAAACCAACAGGACAACAGTTGGGTATCGTACCTCAGGCACATACAGTTTATAGTCTAAATACAGAAACAGGTGCAGAGGTGCTGCTGTATACAAACACCCAGCACACAGCGGATTACAGTCATCTCATGTTAGGTCAAAGGCGGTTAAACAGCACAGAGGATCAGTTCTCAAATGGTTTAACCAACAAGTTCAATGTACACACAGACGACACCGCAGTGTGCTATTCCAATATGCCCTGTACGGTTTGATAAATAAGCTGCCGGATGGCAGTAGTGACAGCTCCAGATTAACCAGTAACATTTTAGGGACAATTTCACAAATTCCACATTAAATCACTTTATTTCCCCCGTTCACAATATCTCTCAATATACGCTCTATATACCGACACAAACATACTATGAACTGTGCTTCTCTCTGACCTGTTAAAATCTATTATTGCTTGGTATTACTCCTCATTCGCAGCCATATAGCTCTCGATGGCAGACGGGGGGGGGTCTCTCACACCTATTAGGGAATTATTACTATACATTCAGTAGTGAACAATGTGCCGATCTAACTTCTACAATCAACCTCAATCGTTATAAAAGTTATTGGTAACACTAGATCATAAATCTCCGAGGCTGAAAACCTTTTCCTGTCCTCAACGTTCATCAGCTTTGACGGGTAATAATGAGTCAGCTAAAAAACAAGTCTGTGCGATGGAAAGAACCCGGGTCAAACAGAAAACCATGTGACGTTAAACTAGCCTGAGGGGAAGTGACGTTATCTCATTCCTCGACGCAAAGCACGGCCTACGAACTGAGGAGGTAACGACGTTAGTGAAGGCAGCGATGGCTGAAATATGATGACTAAACTTTCTGTAGCAGTGGGAAACATTGAGTCTCTTCTAGGAAACGTATGTTGGGGGGCTCGGCGAGGTAAAATGATTTCAATATCGCTCTCAAGACGGAGGTAAATGGATGTTGGTGTTCAGTGCTACATCATTGGAGCCCTTAGCTCACAGAATACAAAACAAATAATTAAGTGTCACCGTGTTTTTCTTTCATATCAGATTCATTATTTATTAATCATTCATTACTTTTATCTTTGATCAGTTTTTTTCCATTTTTCAAAGCTTTGGTTTTGACTTCGTCATCAACAGTATCTGTACAATCTAAACCTGGTTTATAAACAATACTTCAGGTTCCTGGTCCCTTCATCAGGGTCATGTCCAGTGACTCTTCGTGATCACTGGACAAGAACAGCAAACACCCGAAATGTGTTTCGTCAGCCCTGTTGATCCACCACAGAGAGAAAATCGGTAGATACAGGGGATTTTTAAATGCTACCCACCACCGTGTGAAGATAGCGCGAGCAGTAGGTTCTCTGTTCCTCCCTTTGACAGATATGGTGCGATACTAGCCTCAGGCAGCAGAAGTCCATGCGCTGATTATGTGGGGCAAGAAGAGTGGCTTTCTTGTTCAAAATAGTTCAGCAGGGCATGTGTGCGACAAGGGAAGACAGCTCAGTTCAAAGTCCCCATTGCTGTAGTCTATTAAGGATGGAGAGGCGACAGGGGGTTGGTGTCAGGTTATTAAATGAGGGGGGGGTGGGTTCGTCGCCATTTTTCCCCTCTCATAGCAGAATCTTGACCCCACCCTGAGGAGACTGGGCACCCTGGGAGACGCCTCTCGGAGGAGCCGGTCCAAACTCTAACCGTTTCACTAAACTGCAAGACAAGATGTAGCACACACACAATCATGAGCAAACCTCAGATAACACTAAGAACGGCCTGATTGTTCCCAATCTTTGTTGGCTTTACAGACAAATTAAAACAAACGATAAGTGTAAACAAAGCATGAAATCGAACAGTGCAGCTTTGTTTAGGTAGACGTAAGATGATCCGTAACGAGGAAAAGTGGACTTCAATGTAATAATTGACAGACCCACAGGAGCAGGAGTATTTCCTGATGTTGTTCTCCTCACCTGTCGTACTGAGGAGGGGGGCTCATGCTGCTAGCTTGGACCTCGGAGCCTCTCTCTAAACCAGAAGGACTACCAGGGCCAGCCGGGAGTGCCGGTCTGCTGCCGGGCGTGTCGTACACAAAGTCTCGACAGGACGCCAACTTTGACTCCAGATTCTGGAAGGAATATTTAAAAAAATCTTTAGTCAGCTCATGCATGTCGTGATTCTGTTCAGAGACAACAGTTCTGTACAACATGTGTCCACTGGGTCATCTTTAAATCTCTTACTCCAACTTTTCTCAGCAGCTCCCCGACAATGTTGAGTGCAGATATTCTAGCAGACATTGTGAGGGGAGTCCCCGTTAGACCATCACCTAAAACAAAACAGATACGAGTAGGTGAACACGTAATATGTTGATATTAAGTCGATACAGTCACTATTACTGTGGTTATTACTGTAGTCAAAGTTGTTCTATTTCACCTCGTCGGCTACTGGAAGGAGGGGGCGTGGCAAATGAGCTGATGGGTTTGGAGGGCGTGACGGGGATGGACGAGTTCCCGGCCGAGGGGCACGGCAGATCTGCTCTGTCCATGTCTTTGCCCAGGCTGCTGGACGGACGTCTTTCCTTCTGACGCACAGCCAGCTCCTGGCGAAGGTCTGACACAAAACAGGACACGCAGGGAAACTGTGAGTCCGCTTTTTAAGGAAAATGACAAAAGATTCCAGTGCCACATGTTCCATTACGTTCCATAAAGTACAAAAAATGAATATCAGAGACTTAGAACTACATTAAATAGATATTGCATAAAAGACGGAACCAAATGTCAGTTGTCTGGTAATCGGGAGCATAATGCAAATGTCTTATAACACCACGCCGACATAAAACCTAGCAGAGACAAACATCAAGTCTACTGATAAAGGCTTGAGCGCACCACAAAGTGATCAAAATGAGCTCTGCACATCAGAATATCTCTAGTCCACGCCGACTGTCTCCATCTCTAATCATAAAAAACGAGTTTACCCTCACGTGAATCTGATTCTCCTCAAATGCTCAAAATACATTGGCTATCAAATTTCCCTGAGTTAAGCATATATATGTCAGTGTGCAGAGAGATCAGCAGTTCTTGCAAACTAGAGAAGCTACTGTGTGTGTGTGTGTGTGTGTGTGTGTGTGTGTGTGTGTGCGTGTGTGTGTGTGTGTGTGCGCACCTCTGGCTTCATCCTTCAGCCTCTGAACAGACTCAAGCAGGGTCTCTTTCTCATCCAACTCGCTTTCAAGAAAGGCATTCCTCTCAATGACATGGTTCATTCGCTGCTCAAAGTCCTCCAGAGACATGATGGTAGCCCTGGGAATAAGAAGACGGGCCGTTCACGTCAACACTGGATCTATTGTGCATGTGTATTAAAGACCAGCAGTGCCATTTGATGATGAAGCCCATTGGTGAGATAATGACATAAGACCTGTTAAGACACCGACCTTTTGGTCCTCTCCAGGTCATCGTTGGACTGCTCCAGCTCTCGGATGTATTTCTGCAGGTGATCTCTCACTGCTGTTGTTTGTGCCAGATCTTCCTCCAGGGTTGAGATGTGCCTAAAAGCTTCGGAATGCTGAGCCTCGAATTTCTCCTGCAAAACAGCACACAGAACTCAAATTGATTCACATGCCAATGTCATGACGGATTAATCATGGCAACAGCGGGAATGTTTTAATAAGTGGATCTGTGTATTATTTAGCTTATTTAGGGAATCCTGCATATTAAAAAGCCTGCATATTCACGTCCCTCATTAATGTTTTCCTCTCCATGGATGACTGAACAAAAATAGCAGTCAGCTGCCTAACAGCGAGGCAGTTCTTCCCTAGTGGCAGTAGCAACGATATGCTGGATTTGGGTCAGCTAAAGGCTGTCTGTGGATGTCTTCATCACCCATCCGTAACTGCAGCACCAGAGCTTGTCGAGCTCTGTAGGGGCCAGGGGCCCCATTTATAATCAAGGGGCTCTACCTTTATGTTTTCCAGTTCAATGCGTAGTCGGTTGTTGTCTAAAAGCAGCTCTTTGTTTCGACCCTCGCACTGCTTCAGCATAGCTTCCAGTTCTGCTTCATAGTCTCGGCTCATCTGCTGAAACTCCTGCAGCTCCTCATGAGCCTCATCAGCCCTGATGAGGAAACAATGTTTACTACCACCAATACCTCACTCCCCCATGCTGTAGAACACGAATGCTTGTTATTTCAGATGCCTATTAGAAACCTCTGGTCCCGATGTTAATGTCTAGTGTTGTTACCTTTGCTGGTGTGCCTCTGCCTGCTCCTTCCAGAAGCCCAGCTCCTCTGCTAGGGATGTAAACTTGTGTGATGTTGGCTCCACCATGTCTGCAGCTCTGTGTCAGGATGATGGGGATCGGAGACCTAACTGTAAACTACTGCAACGTTACAGCTTCTGCTACTGTCTACGTCTGCCACGAGAGCACATCTTAAACATTCAAAACAAGAGAACTGTTGCGGTAATGCTAACGTGGTTAGCTAGCGTTAGTCTACAGCGCTATGTCTTTAGGTATACTAAAACTACAGAAGCATGTTTTAGCATTTATTTGTATCAAGTGCGAAAAAGTAAAGGTGTGAACTGAACGCGTTAGCAACTTTTAACAGCCAACCGCGTATACATATACCATGGCTAAGCTTTTCAACGGAGCTAATATAGCTAAGTCAGCTAAACGACTTATAGCTAACGTTAGCCAGAATGTGTTGTCTAAACACAGTAAAAACACGGAAACTACGCAGACTCACCCGCATGTAATGGACCGATCAAAACATGCTATAGCTAAGGGAATGGTCTACGAGTTAAAACTAAATGTTCCAGACTTCTGCAACAGACGTATTGTGATTGCACAAACTAATCTCTCGTTACGTTAAGACGGTGCTCGATTCACCAACCAAATATAAACGAAGCTCCACTTCTCGGCCGCCATTGGACGATAGAGATGACGCTGTGAACATATTATCCAATCATATCATTGAACGCACTTAAAGTTGCGGTAGGCGGAGCTCTCAACGCCACACAATACACCGAGCTGTAAAGTTGTCCTGCCCCCCCCCTGCTGACATGCGATGGTGCAATAACAACAAAGAACCGATGTCTGTCCTCTGGTTGTTAAAAGTAAAATTAAATGTTTGACTATTATCAGTTTGTATAGTGTTTCCAATACTTCCCCCCGCAATCCAATACAACACTACCACAAAGTAAAGCCTCAATGCCCCATAGACCAGGATCAATGCACAACTACTTTGTAGGTATCATATTTATTGCAGGGCAATTATTTGCATTTTATTGTAATGTACAGATGTTTCTAGTTTGCTGGTCACAAGTATTCTGGAAATCAATATCTTTTACATGGAGAGTGAAATGGAATTTACTCACATTTGACTTGTCTGTGGGCAATAATGATTTAATGGAGAACAACATAACTTAATTGTATAAAGCCCCTTAATGACTGAATGATTTCACATCTGACAACAACTGTTCTTGACATTTTAGTCCCCCAAAGAATATTCATTCATCTTTCATATGAAATGCAGAGCTGACATCAGTCCATGTGTCTGGACAACCCAGGGTCTTGTTTTTCTTTCAACATGCACATACAGTACACCACCTGTTGTTAACAGCACATTTATGCATAAATAATCACATGTTTTACAGTCCAGACATAGCTGCTCTAGTGGTTCTTACATTACCAAACAATTCATGTTTATATTATGCTTACATTGGATCGACAAACTGTCATCAATCACAACATCTTAATATTACCCCACCACTGTAAATACCTCTAAACCCCGTGTGATTCTAACATAAAGGGCAGGAAGTGGACTCTTGCAACTGGAAATTGTACAGATGTACAGATTTTCAGGCAAAGGAACATAGATTATGTTATAAATAATGATTGGAAGGCATTTGAGATCCTGAGAAAAGTTTGCCTGGGTCCAGACTTTTGAGTCTGCCCACTCCACAGAGTTTGAGTGTAACGAGTTGACAATTCTGTCTGATATCAGGCAAGAGAAAAGTAGCACGTTCCATAGAAAAAGATAGGAAACAAGGTTAGGGCCTCAGACTTCAGACTTGGAATATTCACATTTACTAAAATGAAGACATCTGAGAAGTAAACGATCTGTTGGCCGAACTACAGACTGTTTGCATGTATAGAGGCCTCTGTTTTTGATGTGGATTACACTGTTGTAAGGCATTACATCACCAGCAATTCAGATAAATGTAAGTGCACAGGTTTTCTCACTTATCTTCTTTTCCACCGCAGCCGATCTTATTCCTTTTCTGTTGAATCAATGGGGAACAAGGCAGAAAGGACGGAAAATAAAACACGTTGAAGGTTAAATCCAGCACATAGTCAGTTCATTTTAACTGAAGTTACACAGCCTCCATTAGAAGAAGAAATCTTCAACCTCACCTCAGAGGAATCATTCCTCGGCTTTATTAGTCTCTTTGTTGTTCTCGCGTGAGCACGTCTTCTTACTGTCTATCACATCAGTCTTCACCTGACCCAGAGTTCGCAGCAGGCACATGGTGTCAAACCCCTCGTCACCAGCCTCTTGCAACAACTCAAGCACCTGTAAATAACACAAGTTACTTATTTTTCACAGAAACCACTAAAAGCAAACACAGATGACACATTCTAAACTTGGACCTACAGTATCTGTGCTTGGACTCACCTGCAGACACTTAAATGATTTGAGTTCGCTCAGATTCTCCTGCAGGAACAACAGATAGATGCTGAGGTCGTTGTAGAAGGGCGTGACCACGCCCAAAGCACCAAAGCCTGGCAGCAGCTCGTAAGGCCGGAGAAAGCGGGAGCTCTGGCGAGCTGGTCCAAGAGCAGCGTACACCACCAGCGGAACAAGAAGCACATACACCCCCAAGTTGATGTAGCTGAGCAGCCTGAAGACACCGACTGCCACGAGCTTACACTGCACAGCAGACGGCACCGTGCTGTCGTTTTTCAGCATCCCTGTACGCAGGTCACAGGGAAACTCATCAGTGTGAGAGGCAAGTCGGATGTAGTAGCCCAGGTAGATGCAGGCCAGCAGGAGTGTCAGCAGAGTCACGCCCCGACATGATAGGTACTTGACCACGAGGCAGTGAGAGAAGCGCTTGGTCTTCAGATATTGCTCCACTAAAGGGTATTTAAAGCAACTCTCGGTCAGATCCAAAGCGCTGCAGAAGAGAAGGACATTTCACATAAAAAGACCAGTGTTTAGAAACGCAAACGCCACAGAATTTACCTGAAAAAGATCATCGCATCTCCTGCTAAAGAGTACATGGTAGTGAGCAATAAAAAGGTGTTTACCTCTGTTTGTCCTCAGATGCACCTTTGCTATCCAATGATGCTAGACTCTTGGCCATTCTGATGGCACGATTATAAAAGCGGTCCAGCTCCTCCATGATGAAGTTCAGGTCAGAGGAGATGTGCGGAGCTGCAGTGAAACGCCAGAAGAGGGCCGGGATATACATGAGGATGGCCAGTAAGAGCAGGATGTATGGGAAGAACTGAGGGAATCACAGAAAGGGAGACAGCAGAAGAAAGATGCATGAGAAGAAAGAAGACAAAAAAAATGATTTCTGGACATTTAGGAGCAGAACACAGGGACAGCTTAAAGGTCTTCCAGCGCCCTTCAAACCAGACTGTGATCCCTTTTTATTACAACTGTAAATTAGTGGTGAGACCATTAGGGGGCACTCTGACTAGATAACAGACCAAGACTGGTATTTACAGTGAAGACCATTAGATCCCTCCCGTAGAAGGCCCAGAGACAGGATTAACCAGGAACTGCTAATGGCCCTGTTGACATGTTTGACATTACCCAGGCGCCCTCATGATAGGGCGACTTTCTTTCCCCTACAGAAAAATGTAACCTTCTTTAAGATGGGATTAGAAGGAGGATAATGTCCAACAAAAGGTTAGAGCAACAGAAATTCCAGGTTTACCTCATCCTGGGATGCAGTCCGCACGGACAATCAACCCATTCTACCTCTAAGGTGGGATAAAAACGAATAATTCTGATTAACGCTTTATTTCCCTCAACTGAGGTAATTTTCCCTAAATTAGTATAACTTTAAAATTAGAAAGAAGGCATTTCTCTTTTTTAATGAGCATTGTGTAGTCAGTTTCAAGTCTGTCTCATTGGTCAAGGGGCTAATTAAACAACACATACGAACACAGTTGGTACGTCAATGAGCATCTATAGCTGATAGTAAAAAAACAAACATGTCTGTACCTTGTGCAGCCATAGTGGTGAGCTGTCACCTTGTTGCTGTACAGCTGCCCAACAAAACGAGTCCACATATGCGGCCTGTCTCCAAGAGAAGTTTGTGGGAGCAAAGCAGCTGATCTGGGTACCTTGGGGAGGAAAGGGAAGAGTTAATCCGAGCGGACTCATTTTGGTGATTCTGAAAAGAGAAACAAACACTACAACAATTGTCAGCCCTCCCTCTCCTGCACTCATGACCTAATTTGCTGGTGGGTTGTTTTCAGCATACTTTGTGTCAATAATTATGCCATCCCCTGTATGGTGAGAGGGGGGTTCAATCCTCACAAGTCACAAATGACCCAGATAGTCAGCAGACAGTAATATTTTGGCACCACAGGGGCTGTCGTATCAATATTATAGACTTATGCTATGAACCAACTGAGCACATTCTCAGTCAAATGTCTTCTGTGAAAGAAAAGGCCTATTTTATTGTGTTATACTCAGTGGTGTTTATAATACTGAGTCCACCCTCACTGGTATAATTAGTTAATGCTTAGTAACACCTGTGCTTTTCCTGCTATGACAAGTCAAAATGTCTGCTGGGAAAAAGGCCTACATCTACATCTAATGTCTTGTGTGTTGAAAAGCCCATAGGTTCTCTCCACGTCTCCTCCTGTGTGATTGCTATAGATTCAATACAAAAATCAATGTGGGATTTTGGCAACAATGTGCATGCACTTTTTTTTAGCATAATGTGACAACAATAGCTGACCATAATGACTCATAGCAGCACAATAGAAGTTCTCTTCATATTTCAGTGTAATGGATACATTTTGTCTGAGTATTTGGGGCCGCACTGCCAGTGCTCGCAGGTAATGATAACAACAGTCACTGCGGTCCTTATGACCAAAGAAGATAGATGTGGTAAACTGCTGACGAAAATA